GCATATACAGAGCTGAGCTATACGAGGCGCCGTTGCAGTTAACATGATGGAGGAAATGCAAATGTATGCTACAAAGTCATTAGGAAATGAAGGTAGCAGCTAAGAGAATGTTACAAAGGAAAACAAAAAACAACATTTAGATCCGTCAGATTGATTGATAAAATAATAATTAATGTTACAGTATATTCGAAAGAAAATTTTATCTGTACATTTTTTAAAGAAAAATATAAAGAGCTTATTTTGATGCAGAAAGGCAGACTTGTTTCCAATCTACCTTAGATTGTGTTCTCAAGCGGGATGTTCAAATAGACTTGTTTTGTTTCTTCAGTCCAAGCACGTCCAGTACATGATATTTGTACTATTGTTCATCTAAAATTCATTTTCGATATGATTGGACGACAAGGTACAATAACAAAAAACCTGGGATGGGGAGGGGAGGGGGGGGGGTTGACATTCACTTTCCGAAATCGGTTATATATAGTGATTCCGAACTGACATACTTTGAATAAAATATATATCTCAAAAGTATAGATGGTTGCTCCATGGAGCCATAACAGGTCGTTAACACTACGTTAAAGCAAAGGGTATGAGCCAACACTCTTTTTGTTCTTAGCAGACGAATCGTAGCATTAAATGCATGAACAAGAGACGAAGAGCATTTAATAATGTTTCTCGAGCAGTCATTATCCTCGTTTAAGGTGCCCCATCTGTTCCTCATTAGTTCGCAACGCTGGCTACGCCATTTTGTATCTTCGCGAACCCCCTCATAATTAAAACTCCATCAACACCTGCGTCTTTTAGTTTACAGCGGTAATGGCGCTGTGCATTGTGGTGTGGAAGCCTCATATGGTCCGTTACACAGTTTATAACACTCTGCGCGTTGAATTACTGTAAGTCTTTCACAAATTGGATAAGTGAAAATGTGGTTTGAGTAGGTTTAGCGTATATAGAGCAATGACAATGCTGTTTAACATTTGTTTTGCTTGAGTATGGCGTGACTGCATAATAGGGTCTTTTCTATCTTAGAATTCGGTCGAAAAAATGAAAGACGATATTGTTTGTATCACCTGGAAATTTAACAGGAAGGTCTGTCATCAAAAGGTGTTGATCAAATTAACTCACGATGACTGACGGCTTTTATGTTTTTTATTGCACCGTTTTAAATGCAAATTAATTATGATCGACATTTTAAAAGAAAAAGACCACGCTCGTGAATAGGGGTGTTTTCATGTTTTACAGGCTTCAGATAATATATTTTTTAATTATTTTTTATAGAAAGACCTTAAAAAATAAAACACTGTACAAGTCACGAATCCATTATCTAGTTTAGTTCAGTCAGTTTACTCCTCGTATTCAAGACTGACTGTGGGCTTGAAGTTTTCTTTTCAATATCTTTGAATGAGCTTCAAATTTTGTTCTGCATAATCACGAAGCATAATGATGACGATACACTATTAGCAAAATTACTATTCATATAAAGCTATAGACCTTACATGTATGTCATGTAAATCGCACGGGTGTGCTATTATCAATATAAAGCTATATGCCTATATAACTCATGTGAATATAGCACGGACTACGCGTCTATAAGAATAGGGACTTTTAGATTTGCGTGGACTGATACGTGTGACGTCCATTTAAGGCAGTGCATTAAAAGGACGTCGATCGTAGCAATCCCCATTGTCTTCGTGCGAATCTAAAAGTCCCTAATAATAATGTAGGGTAGACTGCTTTTATTCATAGGGTGCATATAGAGCCAAAATGGCATTGGCAGTATTGTCCTTCTGGGTTCGTAAACAGACAGTATGTTGTCGTACACTCCTTGCTAGAAACAGTCACTCCTACCTTCTATTTCATCTTCTTCCATTTCTTCGCCCTTTTTCAACCTCACCTGGGCACAATTACCCATTAGCTTCAGGCCATAGAAGTAATTTGATGGAAAATTTCATTTCACTTTGACTTTTCCTAGCCACCGTACGTGGGTGATTGATCACAAATTGAGTTTTCATGCAAATTATGACGTGCGTATAATCACATTAGCTGGCCACAATTGTAATATTTCCAAGTGAGTAGGGGGGGGGGGTGGAGCTGGGGGTACAGCATTATTTATACTGCGGTTATATTGAATACTTGTCATTTGATCACTATTTTCCTATTAGCTTTTGATATCTTTACTTTTTATTCCATGCATATTGAATTTCAGGACAATGCATTTAAGCCGAATCAATTTCAGCATGATCAAATAAATGGTATTGCTTTGAATTACACATTTATTGTAAACGGAAGAGAATATGGACTCGGAAGATATTTGAGGAGGTATATTCTTCTTTAATCACTAAAGAATCTGATCTTTTATTGGTTTTGAAATTTGATAAGGCTGTCAGAAGTTCATGCTCTGGCCTGGACAATTACAATGCCGTGCCTGCGTTCATGTAGATGCCAATCCTGCCATATCCTGCCATGCATGTCCATTTCATCGGAATTATGAAAATAACTGGAAATTGGAAGTAATTTCGGTTCGGTATTCGTCAAAGATCCGCATCGTGAATCATGCATAAACGCTGCCTTGTTTGATATGGAGCTGGGATTAATTCAACTTGTCAAGCCAGATTATTAGCAATGCCATGGAACTGATGAAGTATATGGTTGCTATGCTAACCTTGTAGTGGATAATTTCATCTGGATTATCATCTGTACGGAAAGTAATTTCTTATTCTACGCCATCTGCATCGTCCTGTGGAGGGTAAAAAAAGAAGACGTTATAATGATGAGAATCGAATGTGGACAAAAGAAAAAAGAAAATTTCCAATTGCATAATCCTTATAAGCATAGACGAATCTTATTATAGGGATATATGTGCATCATAGGTGAATTCGATAGAATAAGAATGAGAGTTAGATATATATATATAGAGAGAGAGAGAGAGAGAGAGAGAGAGAGAGAGAGAGAGGGGGGGGGGGGTAGGTGGAGTGAGACAAAGAGAGGGATGGGGAACAGGAAGAGGAATGATGAGGAAAAAAATAGAATCTAAATGCCGTACATGATTCATTTATGTTTTCTTTATTATTTGGATACTGTTTGGGTCTTCTTTTTCGTTCGTGAGAGAGAGAGAGAGAGAGAGAGAGAGAGAGAGAGAGAGAGAGAGAGATATTACATTGAACATGATGTAAAGATTATCAAAGAAGAAGATGATTCTAGAATGTGAAACGAAAACGAGTGTTAAAATAAAATAAAGAAGTGCGTTTCACAACTACATTCCCTGGCCCAGAAATCCATCTTACTTTTGTGATGGTCTCGAGTAGTGTTGAGGACTATCTATATCTAATTCTACGGCTAGCCTCCGACTTCTTTCTGCCTCATCCAAGGTATGACGACCTTCGTCGCGTATCACGTATAGACCACGCTGAATAATGCATTATGACTCAGAAGAGAATATAGTGTTCCTTACCATGATAACAAAAATCGCGTCCATACCAGTTTTTATTCTGGATTCTGACGGGAAAATGTTCTTATTGAATTAGAAAACGTTTAATTTCTCTGTCAAATTAAGTGAAAAGAATGCTAATACGGTCAATAAATGTCACAACGTTTTTGGACCCATTTTGAGGCTAACTTAGATAGATGAAGAGGAGGGTAACAATTATAGGTACATTCTTCTTTTGTATTTTGTACACTCACAATGTACGAGATTCTCATATTCCAGTTAAATTAATCTTAATCGAGCTATGGGCGGAGGTTGGGGGGGGGGGGGACCCCTACATTTTTTTTGTTTTGTTGTTGTATATTTTGAAAATGCAATGAATACACATACAAAACAAAAACCCAGATACTCGACAACACTTCAACCTTTCTGTTCAAGTCATAACAAAAAGAAAAGAAGGAGAAGAAGAAAAAAGAAGAAGGAGTAGAAGGAAAGGAGGAGGAGAAGAGGAGGAGAAGAGGTAGGAGGAGGATAATGAGGAGGAGGAGAAAAAGAGGAAGAAGAAAAGAAAAATATGAAGGAACCCTAATATGGACTTGCCCTGAGGGCGGTGCAAATTCCATGATAGCTTACAATATTCTCGTTTAATCTGACCACCATCTCCATCAATTTAGATTTGGAAAATTCTGCAAATTTAAACAGAAATTAAAATAATGTCCTCCGATCAAGTCATGCTAAAAAGTGGACGAACTGGACGCACTCTGTCTTCGGCGCTTGTTTCTCGAGAGGGAAAACAATACTTTGCAAGAGGCTCGTTTCGTTTGACCTCAATCGTGGCAATTTGGTTTCGGAATAGTATTGGCTAACATTTCATGAATAATTGAATTAACCTATTCCCAAGTGATGTAATCATAGTGATCGTGGAAGAATTTTGTTACCACATTGACCATGACGACCGAATAATAAAGTGTATTCTAGCTTTCAAATTGCATTTTCAACATACTTATTTGCTATTCCCTTTTCACTATTTTTCTGACATCCTATTGCCTATCTTCTTTTCATCTCCTTTACTTCTCTTCTGTGACTAATTTTAAGTTTATATTTATATTGCTGTTTTCCCTGCATGTTTTGTCTAGTATAAAAAATGTCCTTCCAGGGTCTCGTCTTATAAAGAGTTGATATTACTCGCAATTTATTTGCGATTGATGTCGATCGCAACTATGTACACAAGAGATGGGAGACTGCAAACTTGTGATTGATTGAAGAACTTACGATTGATTTAGATCAATCGCAACTTTTTATAAGACGAGGTCCTGGTTTTTCTCCCCAAGTCCCCTTTCTATATTTTCCTCGCCTTGATATGATATCTTTCTTTTCCAATCGCATTACATCTGGTACAATCATTTTGATTTGTGTAATACGTACTATGATACATAGAGATAGAGATGTAATATGGTCAAGGCATAACATCATTTTCTTTATGTCTTAAATGAATATCTCGATAAAAGTCTTTTTTCTTTGATTTTCTCAATTCTTGTAGACTTAAATCTTAATTTGAACATTCTCTTCCTCTTGACAG